GGGGGGGGATTTCTCCTGCCTCCTCCCCCCCGCAAATAAAAGAGCAAATTGCTGTAACTTCTGCGAAAGGAAAGGGGGAGAGGGGGCCGGGGCAGCCGGGCTCTCTACTGGCTCCAGCGGGGGGACCGGGCAGCTGAGCCGCGGCTCCATTTGCTTGACTTTCTCTCCCAGCCCTGAATTTTTTTTACAGCCTACAGGGGGAAAAAAAAAACAAACCCAACAACAAAACCAACCAACCAACCAACCCCAAACAAAAAACCCAAACCCGAAAGGAGAACGGAGGGAGGAAAGAAAGACGGGTGGGTAACGCGGGGGCTGCTCCCAGCAGGATGGGGAGGCGGCAAGAGCGAGAGCAGGACTCTCAGCGTCCAGCACGGTGGGGAGAGCCAGCTCCCCACTGCAAAATAAAATAAATACAGCCCCGAATCCTTCCCCCAGCCCTCCAATAAAGCAACAGCCTCTCTCCGAGGCGCCCCTTGGCCGGGGAGCTCAGCAGCCCTGGCCAGGGACCCTCCTTCCCCCCGGACAAAGTGTTTAAGGCACAATTCGCTGTTTCGGTATTTTAATAGCACCGTTCAGGTAAATGCTCGGGCAGGAGAAGGGCGGATACCGGAGCTCATTGGCCAGATAATAGAGGAATAATGAAATCAAAGCCCCGCAGCGTCCGTCCCCAAACTACTGGCAAAAGGAAAAAAAAAAAAAGGGAAGGAATGGGTCGAAATTCCCCTTATCCGCGAAGGTGGCAGAGAAGGGAGGTCTCTAAAGGGAGAGGCCAGGGAGCAAAATCCTTTCTCCTCCTTGGGGCAAGGGGACCGGAGAGTGATTTCCAACCCTCTTCCACAGTGGGAAGAGTTTAAATAAACATTTATTTTCTCCCGTAGCGGCTCCCCCGCCACACACTCATGGCTCGTTAGTGCGGGGCACGGCTCTGCCCTGCCCGCAACAGGGAGGGGACGGATCCAGACCCTCCACTTGCCCCCGCTCCCTCTCTTTGCAACGTGCGGTTTTCTATGTGTTTAAGACGTCCAGGGGCTGGCAGACACCAGCGGCTCCAGGAGGCTCCGGACCGCGTACACCAACACGCAGCTGCTGGAGCTGGAGAAGGAATTTCACTTCAACAAATACCTCTGCAGGCCCCGGCGGGTGGAGATCGCGGCTCTGCTCGACCTCACCGAGCGGCAAGTCAAGGTCTGGTTCCAGAACCGCCGGATGAAGCACAAGAGGCAAACCCAGTACAAAGAACACCCCGACGGGGACCTCGCCTACCCCAACCTGGACGAGGGCAGCGACCCCGCGGAGGAGGCTGAGGAGAGCCCCGCTTTCGGGCCGGCTCCGGAAACGCCCCCCCCCCCGCCTGCCCGTTTCTCCCCCTCCCAGGCGCACCGGCCTCATCCCGAGCCACTGCCAGCTCCCCCCCGTCTTCTGTAAGGGGGTGGGGGGCCGCCCCCCAAAATAATCCCAAGCCATTTCTCATTCAATCACCCCATCCCGCCCCCCAAGCACTTTCTTTTAAAGCTCCTGACACTGTGGGACCCGCATCACCCTCCCAATATTTATTCTAGAAGGCTCACATGACAGAACAGCCCGAGTTTTTCTAAATGCAGGTATTTAATTATAGTTTTATTTTTTTCTTATTTATTTTAAAGAAAGCACTCGATAGCTCTCATGCACATCAGAGATGTCAGCCCCCAAGAGAAAACATTTGTAAATCCTTCAAGCGACTTTCTCAGGAATCAGAATGAGACTTTTAGATTTCTTAATAAAATAAAATAAAAAAAAAAAACAGAGGAATTTTCTTTCCTCTTTTTAAGTTTTAGATGTAGACTATTTATTCAAATCCTTTAATAGTAAATGGCAAATTATTTATTGTACATTATTTTCATAGAGTAAATAAATGTCTTTATAAAACCAAGAAACGTGCGTTGCTACATATTTCATTCGAAAATGCGCAATTTTTTTGCCTGAATCATTCGCCTTCCTCTTCCCCGCTTTGCAGTAATGATGTCCTAATAATCTCCTTGTGTGCATTGAGAGAGGAGACAAAAGGAATTGCTCCCAGCTAACATTTCTGGAGGCTTCGGGAGTCAGAAATATTTGCTACATTCAGTTCTGCCTGCATTTTCCTTGAGCTTGGTCTTTATTTATTTTATTTTTTACTAAATCGAAGCGGGACATTTGTTTCTAATTTTAACAACTGCGGTTATACTTTTGCAACTGAAAATCCCTCCTGTAAGGAAATCGCCGGGTGAGGGGATGGAAAGCAACACAAAGGCGGCGCTCGGAGAGGCGCCGGGGCCGCGCCGG